GTGTTTTAAATGACTCAAGACTGTTCGGTGTCTATCTGTACACAAAGCCCTGAACTCCTGAGACCAAGGACTATTTCTTTTCCATTTTTTATTTCTAATACCTTGTATGCTGCCTGCCACTTCAAAAGAACACAATAAATATTTATTGAATGAATGAATGAATGAATGCTATTTCTCTGTTGTTTTTCATTTCAAAAACTGGTGTGATGTAATTAGTTTTCTCCTTTGAGGATTAATTCTACCTAGATAATAATTTAACTGCAAAGAAAGGTAGGAATGTTTCTTGGCTGCAGCTACAAGCTTGCATAAAGCTTTCAGTGTGACCCATAGTATAAAATTATATAAACTCAGCACTGGGTTTCAGCATAAACTGATTCATTTTAGACTGACTGAATAATTGAATCTCCTTGTTTGGCATTTGTTTAAAGAGAGAAGGTCATGGGACAAATGGTGGATATTTGAGGCTATGGAAACATATGTTATAAATTTGGTTTAGCTGTTTCTGGTAACCGGCATTACTGTGACTGAAGACCCAGGCTTCCCCAGTCTGCCCTCCACCCTCGGGAATGCATAACTAGATGCTTTTCAAAACCAGAGGCAGAGAGAAAATCACCATGGGCATGCCTCACTGATGGACTGCATTCATGCCCAGTTAAGGAAAGCAAGCAGCGGACTGAGAGACTGACTCCAGAGAGTCAGACCCAGGGCTCATCCAGTTGAATCTTTTCATAACAGGTTTAAGAGGTGTGTTGAGAAACAGCTTGGTGGTTCTTGACTCTACTTATAGACTAACTCCTCAGACATCTTTGTTAATATCCCACAGAGGCTCTCTCCTAAGTGACTAAGCTTTTCAGAGAAGTGACTTGAATTCTATGAAGAGGCCCTCTGGATTGGTGAGAAGATCATGGAACTTGTTTTAAGGGGACTTTAAAAAATCCCCATCCTCAGTTTCCTCATCTGTAAAATGGGTTTCATTATACTTACCATTCTTACCTCACAAGATAGTTTGTGAAGGTCAAAGGAGATGAAGTCAGTGAAAATAGTTTGAAGATTGTAAAATGCAGAAAAAATATAATATATATTTTCTACCTCTATTAATTCACCTGATTCTTTACCCATCTTATAACAAAACCTTCCTAAGCTTGCCTTCTGCTTGAGAACTTCCTTTTATTTATCCCAATATTTTTCTCATCACAAAAAGAGAAAAAACATTTGCTGTGTGCTTTGTATGTGTACTGTCTTCATAACAGACTTGTGATGCGGGTACGATTATTGTAATTTTACATATAGGTATCAGTTCATGGTGGTTTGGTAGCTTGCCCAAGGCCATGCATGCAGCCAGATCTTGGGTTGAGACTCAATTGTGCCTATCTCATAGGCCATGCATTTTCCATCCTCCACACAACCTTTCAAGCTTTAAAGCATTCTTCTCCATTTTTTTTTTTTTTTTTTTGGATCCTGGATTTTGGTGTACAACTTCACCTTGGACTTGATCACAGCATTTTGATTTTCTGGAGTTTGATCATATTCTTCATTTTCTGTCATACCAAACTGAAATGTCCTGCTCTTTATTCTGGCAGGCCTCTCCATTTTCTGGATTTTTTTACTTGCTTTTCTTGGACCTTTCTTGAGACCTAAGAGGTAAAGTGGCATGTATTAGTCCAGGTGAGGCACCCCAGGATTGGGTATCAGGGTAGGATAATGTTTCGAGATGCATTTTCAATTCTAATCATGATGCCCAGAAATCACTAGTTCTTTTGGCTGAAGTAAGGCAATTCCAGCGGAATGTCCTCTGGTGATAGCCAGCAACCATGTGGCCAGCCCATGGGGAACACAATGTTTTGAGGTCTCTTAAATCCATTCATTTATTTATTCAACAAATACTTTATAATACTTGTGCCAGTCTCTATTCTAGTTGCTGTGGATAGGGTAAAATAAAACACCTCAAGTCCCTGTTTTCTTAGAGTGTATTGAGAAGTATGAAAAGACAGTTGATGAATACAAAAATATATATGTCAGGTGGCAAGGGATATGCAGAAAAATGAAACTGGGGAAAGGGAATAAAGGAAGACTGGGCAGTGGACTTGATTTTTGCAAATACGATGGTTAGGGATATTCCTAATAAGATGATCTTTGGGCAGAAGCTTGAATGAAGCAGAGGTCATCTCAGGGAAGAATGGCACAGGCAGAGAACAGCAAAAGCAAAGGTCTTGGAGAAGCTACTTGCCGTGTTAGAGGTTACGCCAGTGTACTTGGATCAAAGTGAGAATAGAAGTGATTGGGGGAGATGAGGTAAGAGATAAGGCAAGAACATCAAAATCAAAGAGAGACAGATGATGTATGGTCTTAAAAGTATAGCCAGGACTTTGGGTTTTATTCTGTGTGAAACAGGAAGCCATTATAGCATTATAAACAAAGAACTGCCCTGATGACTTAACATTTTAAGAACTTACTCAGACTGCTTTGAGGTGACTAGATTGTAGAAGAGGCATGGTGGAGGCAGGGAGGCCATTTAGACAGCTGTTGTAATAATCCAGTTGAGAGATGATGGTGGCCTGGATCAAGGTGATGGTGGAGGTAAGGGCAAAACGTGGTTGGATCCTGGATATAGGCTGGCTTTGAGAAAGAGAAGAGCCAATGGTAACTCCATGGTTTTTAGCCTGAGAAATCGGACACACTGGATGAACAGAGTTACCTTTTATTTAGATGAGATATACTGTGGGAGGCACAGGTTTGTGTGTGTGTGTGTGTGTGTGTGTGTGTGTGTGTGTGTGTGTGTGTGTGAAGGTAGGGAATCAGGGGTTCTATTTTATATATTTTAACTTTAAGATTATGTCCAAATAAGGATATCAAATAGGCAACTAGATATGAGTGTGAAGTGTTCAGGAAAGAGGTGAGGGTTGGAGTTATACATCTGAGGTCTTTCAAGTCTTGGGGCAAAATGAGATCACCTAGAGAAATAGAGAAATAGATAAAAAAGAGATCAGAAGACTAAATCCTGGAGCACTATAACCTACCATTTAGAATTTGGGGAAATAGATGTAACCAGTAAAGAACTGTAGTTTCTTAGAAAGCTGTTTTGGTGGTTGTGTGGCAGCAGCTACTGTATATTGGAGGTCTGCTTCCAAAATGGAACAGGATCATTGTGAAAAAGCACACATAAAAAAAGAGACTTTTTTCTTATCACTGAAAAATCTGGGCCAGGTGCAGTGGCTTAGGCCTGTAATCCCAGCAGTTTGGGAGGCTGGAGCAAGAGGATTGCTTGAGCCCAGGAGTTCAAGAACAGTCTGGGCAACATAGTGAGACCTCATCTCTATTATTAAAAAAAAAAAGAAAAGAAAAGAAAAGAAAAGAAAAGAAAAAAACATCTGTAGAAGATAGGCCAATTACTTCCAGGAGAGAAAATTAGGTTGAATTAGTTCAGGTTAGGGAAATTTGCTTAATTCACTAGAAAGCAAAGGGATTATATATTCCTGGAAATATAAGCAAGTGATAGAAACAAAGTTCCAAAACTCTTAATACCACAGATATGTAAGTCATAAGCACATGCATTTATAAATTCACAAATCAGACTTGTATCAGGATCCATATTAACAGAATCATCTACACAATGCATATAAATACACTTTGACTTTTGGAACACTTTTTTTCCCCCAGTGGCAATTGGTGTTTAATTTCCTAAGTCACACAAAGAAAGATTATTTAACCTGGTGGGGCTCGGTGGCTCACACCTATAATCCCAGCACTTTGGGACGGTAAGGAAGGTGGATCACTTGAGGGCAGGAGTTCAAGACCAGCCTGGCCAACATGGTAAAACTGTCTCTACAAAATATACAACAACAAAGAAAATTAACCAGGTGTGGTGGTGTGCACTCATAGTCCCAGCAACTTGAGAGGCTGAAGCATGAGAATCACTTGAACCTAGGAGGCGAAGGTTGCAGTGAGCATAGATGGTGTCACTGCACTATAGCCTGGGCTACAGAGACTCTGTCTCAAAACACACACACACACACACACACACACACACACACAGAAAAGAAAGATTATTTAACTCATGAGGAATCTCAAGTGTGGGCCTAATTTTTCAATTTTTAATTTTTTAAAAATGCATTGTAAGCTGTTTTATTTTAGTGTATGGGAGTGTTTGGCAGAGCAACAATTTTATAAGGAATTCTTAAGAATATGTTGCATGAGTGACAATCTTTTGGCTTCCCTGACACAATGGAGGAAAAAGAATCGTCTCGGGCCACATATAAAATACACAAACACTGCTGATAGCTGACGAGCTAAAAAAGAATTAAAAATCACACAAAAACATCTCATAATGTTTTAAGAAAGCTTACATATTTGCATTGGGCTGCATTCAGAGCTGTCCTGGACTGCACGCTCCACCCGTGGGTTGGACAAGCTTGTATCAGAGCATGTTTCTTTCTTCATTGGTACCTATTGTACAAGATGAGATGTCCAGCAATAAAAGGCAAATGTAAGCATGCTTTCTTTAAGATGCATCATAAGCTGATTTCTTTTCTTTCTTTCTTTTTTATTTTTTTTTTAATAGATAGAGTCTTGCTCTGTTGCCAGGCTGGAGTGCAGTGGTATGATCTCAGCTCACTGCAACCTCCGTCTCCCAGGTTCAAACAATTCCCCTGCTTCAGCCTCCTGAGTAGCTGGGACTACAGGCGCACAACACCACTTCTGGCTAATTTTTTGTATTTTAGTAGAGCCAAGGTTTCACCATGTTGGCCAGGATGGTCTTGATCACCTGACTTCATGATCCATCCACGCTGGTCTCCCAAAGTGCTGGGATTGCAGGAGTGAGCCAATGTGCCTGTCCATAAGCTGTTTTCTTTCAGGAATAGAAGTATTTGACAGAGAAAATCTTTGTAAGCAACCTTGAGAACATGTTATTAGAACATGTTTCTTTCTGCATTGTTTCATATTACAAGACTTTACCTATGGAGCTATAAAAGCCAAATGTAAGCATGCTTCCTTTTCTTTTTGGATAATTAAATTAAACAGATTTTATTCAACTTTTTAGATGAGGAAAACAAATGTACAAAATAAGTCATAAGAAATGCTGTCTTTTACTACTATCTCAAACCACTTTCAATGTTTTACAAAATGCTCACACAGCAAATATGAAAAGCGTCAACACACTCTTCCTTTGTAACTTGCTGCAAAAAATGCAACATTAACAAACATACAAATTTCTTCTGTATCAATCTTAAAAAGTTGTATTACTAATTTTTATGATGTTACTCATGCATATTTTTATTCATATACTTTTAATGACATCATTGCCAATACATAATTTTCTTTAACTCTATTTTTACATTAAGTCAACATCTGTCATGCAGCCATCAAAAACCTTACAGTAAATTACACAGGTTTGCAGTCCAACTTAGTCTCTAGTTTCTTAGAATCAGCCACTTTCCTGACTGCTTTCATGAAGTTTTCCTGTACTGCAAAATCATGATCAGCGCAAATTGTGAACATACCTGCCTCAGTACAAACACTTCTCAGGTCTGCTCCATTAAAGCTATCTGAAAGCTTCACAATTGCTTCATAATCTATTTCACCATGCTTTGTAATGGGACCTACATGGATCTTCAGTAGGTCTAATCTTGCTTGTTCATTTGGCAAATCAATATGTATTTTTCTATCTAATATTCCTCGATCAGGAAGCAGGATCTAGTATATTTGGTCTGTTTGTAGCCACGACCATTTTAACTCTATGCAGAGTATCAAATCCATCCATTTGATTCAGTAACTCCATTAAAGTTCTGTGACACTCTCTGTCAGCTGAAGTACCCTCAGAAAACAAACGACCACCAATAGTATCCATTTCATCTATAAAAATGATTCATCGTTGACAGTCCCTGGCATAATTAAACATTTCTCTGATCAGACGAGCTCTTTCACCAATGTGCTTGTCTACAATAAAACGAGATAACAGCCTTTAAGAAATTGCAGTCCTAGGCCGGGCGCGGTGGCTCAAGCCTGTAATCCCAGCACTGTGGGAGGCCGAGGCGGGTGGATCACGAGGTCAAGAGATCGAGACTATCCTGCTCAACATGGTGAAACCCCGTCTCTACTAAAAATACAAAAAATGAGCTGGGCATGGTGGTGCGTGCCTGTAATCCCAGCTACTCAGGAGGCTGAGGCAGGAGAATTGCCTGAACCCAGGAGGCGAGGTTGCGGTGAGCCGAGATCGCGCCATTGCACTCCAGCCTGGGTAACAAGAGCGAAACTCCGTCTCAAAAAAAAAAAAAAAAAAAAAAGAAATTGCAGTCCAGCTGGCTAGCAATGGCTCGTGCCAAGAGTGTTTTCACTGTACCTGGTGGTCTGTAAACAAACAGCCTTTTGGAGGTATTATTCCTACATGCTGAAATAACTCTGGGTTTGTAAGAGGTAATTCTATTACCTCTCTTAATTCCCGGATGTTTTGCTAGCCCTCCAATCTCAGAATAAGAAACATTCCCAGGGTCCTCATGAGACATATAAATCAGTGGATCCACCTCTCTTAGCAAATATCTCATGAGAGTTAGTGTTGTCATATCCAAAGCAACTCTTATTCCTGGCTTCAGCTTACTTTTGTCAAGCTGTTGACAACAACCCACAACATTTCTTGGTCCATTTGTGGCTTTAACAAAGAATTTTTCTTCAGTTAACTGTTGAAGGGCTTCACCCACAATCTGCCCAACACTTGGTAGGACCTTCAGATCATTTTCAGACTTTTCATACTGCTTGTAAGTTCTTTTAATTGTTTCCTTAACTCCTTAAGATGGCTGTCGAACTCCTTAAGACAGCTGTTGATCTCCCTGTGCTCAAGCAGCTTCTTCCGGTAGTCCTGAAGCGCCTTACTTCTGGGGTCTACCACGAGGAGAAGCTGCTTCTTTCTTTCAATGATAGATTTAGTGGGCATAAGTGCAGCTTTTTTACATGGATACATTGTGTTGTAGTGAAGTCTCGGTTTTTAGTGTATCCATCACCTGAATAGTGTAAATTATATCCATTAAGTAATTTCTCACCCCTCGCCCCCATCCCACCCCAATTTTCAATTTTCAGTCATGTTCTTAAGAATTTTTTCAGTTGCAATTCTGGTCTGTGCAACTAACTCATCTGATAGATAGATAATCAATGCAGTATGTAAGAAGGGTGAAATATTAACTGATTCTTAAAAAGCATAGTCTCCTTTTATCCTGTGGACCCTTGCATACCCTCCCTTCCCCTAGTGTTGCATCCCAAATTTGGCCAGCTGAAGATAGGTCTCCAGTTCCCAAGGGGAAGTCAGAGAACAAAGATATTTAAGTTTGAAATGTCTTGATCTTCACAGAAGACAGATTTAAAGAATGGGCCAGGCACGTGGCTCACGCCTGTAATCTCAGCACCTTGGAAGGCTGAGGCAGGCGGATCACCTGAGGTCAGGAGTTGAAGACCAGACTGGCCAACATGGTGAAACTCTGTCTCTACTAAAAATACAAAAAATTAGCCAGGTGTGGTTAATTTTTTGATTAATTCTTGTGCTGAGGCACAAGAATTGCTTGAACCTAGGAGGCGGAGGTTGCAGTGAACCAAAATCGCACCAGTGCACCAGCCTGTTGACAGAGTGAAACTCGGTCTAAAAATAATAATAATAATAATAATAATAATAATAGCAGAGAGATAGAACTGGGGGCTGGGTCACTGGGGGAGAATTGGAGAGGTTGAGACACTGATGGGGTGCTAGAAGGGACCCTCCCCTGCAACCCTACTTTATTTTTTGAAGATGTGGATGGGGTAAATGTCATTTCTCCAAACATTACATAGACTCAAGCTGCATCCTCTAAGTTCTAGAAAAAAACTTATTGTCTTCTCTGGCTTAGTTGTAGAGAAGCTCTGTGATAAGTTTGTCACTAGCGGAACAACCAGGATGTCCAGTTGCCCACTGTGCTGGGGAAGAGTGGGGCCTTGATGGAAGAAACAGTGGTTTGGAGCCCTGTCTGCGAGTCACTGTCTTTAGGAGGAAGGCTCTTCTCGATCCCCTTCCATGCTGCTGATAGTAGGATGGGCTGAGGCTGCCCCTGCTTGGGAGAGGCTGCTGACTTTGGCAGACCAAGAAAGGATTAACTGAGCTTTCTTTTGGATGCCTTCATCTTTTCATACTTTTTTGAAGGGAGCCTTCTTTGTGCCCACAAACATAGATTTAGCACCCACTTCTTTGTGTTCCAATATTGTCTCTATTATAGGACTGACTGCCCCATCCATTTTTCTCTCTCCCCTACTAGACTTGTGAGCCCTTTGAGAACAAAGACCAAGTCGCATTTGTCTTTGTACACCACCCCAGGATGGTGCCTAGGTCATGGTAGGCAAGCTATAATTATATGCTGCGTTATAAGGAAAAACAAATGTGTTCACTCTCCATGCCGTTGACTGCTCTGTTACCCGGTGGGAGTAACTGGAGTAAGCAGAGGAGAGCGACAGGCCTATGCAATACAATGCGTTCTGTTCAACAGATGTTAAGTAACTGTAACTGCAACCACCTACAGTGTGTCTTATCATCTTTCTTTTCCTTCAAATAACAGATTGAAGCTTATTTCCTCAGAAAGATGGATAATTGCAAGATTAACCATCTTACAATCTGTTAGCCAGTCCCCTTCTTCCTAAGACATTTCCTGTCATCACTGTGACTGTAGCCTTAAGTGCATTTTATAGTCAGTCCTCTCTTTTGGCCATTGTGTTCTTTGAAATCACATCTTTGTAAAATGGAATGTTTTCTCCTGTAGTGACAACGTTGTAATTAAAACTAAAGGCTGACCAAAGACTCAGTATCAAATACAATATAGCAATCATCTATAATGTGTCAAAAAGACAAACCTCCAACTACAGTCCTCTAAAACAATTTATAATAGTAAAATCCCACCCCAAGTCCTATATAAAAGTCATAAGCACCCATTGTTTATACAAAGAAATGTGGAATTATGTAAATGTATGTAAAAACATAAAATTACATCCTACTCTATCATAAATTTTTCCTAAAACTAATACACATTAAGATGAATATTTTTAACACATTAATGAATAACAACTTATTCTGCTTTTAAATTATAAATGGAGTATTGGAAGATACTCAAGTATCTTGAACTAGATAGTTCAAGTCTCTTTAAAAAAAAATCAAGTCTAAGCAAGTTTGAAGTTATGCTCCTTTTGCCTTTTGTAGGTTGTCCTCTTCAAAGTAGAGGACTTCTAAGTGATTCAATTGATCCCATAGTCGCACCCAAATTAGTAGGCTCTAGACATGTTTCCTGTTGTTTATGACAATGATGGTGTTTCTTTCCTCTTCTGAAAAGCTCACCAAATATTTCTAATCTTCTTTTTTTCCTTCTCTTTTTCTGTATTTAAAGCTAAAGGCATAGTTGCTTAGTAGAAGACCAAACGAGTTAGGAAAGGACATGAAATGGCCTTAAATCCCTCGGGCTCTGCTTCCTTCTGTGAGTGATTCTTCCTTGATTTAATTTTTATTGTAGAAGCAATAAAACAATTGCTGATTGTGAGCAAACTCCACAGAAAGAACTTCACAACATCTGTGACAAGATTTCTAAGAGGTCTGGCTGACCCTGCATAAAATTCAATAAAACAATTAAATCAACATTTATTGAAGGCCTATTGTGTTCCAGGCCTGATGTGGGGCTCACGAGCTGCTGAGGCAAAGGGAACATAACTTGTCCTTCAAGGAGCCCCTGTGAAGTGTGGGGGTGTTAGGAAAACAGCACCTAAGTCTAGTTGTGAGAACTTCCTATAGGACAGTAGCAGACTTGGGTCATCTTCTCCGGGGTCTTCTTGTCATGTGACTACCAGGTTTGTGATTGATACTGATCTACAATCATGTCTGGTAAGAAGGACATTTAGAAACTGTTATTCAATAAACCTCTATGTTTACTTTATTTTTGAGTCTCTCACTGTCACCCAGGCCAGAGTGCAGTGGCACAATCTCAGCTCACTGCAACCTCCACCTCCTGGGATCAAGCGATTCTCCTGCTTCAGCCTCCCAAGTAGCTGCAATTACAGGTACCCACCACCACATCCAGCTAATTTTTGTATTTTTAGTAGAGATTGGATTTTGCTATGTTGGCCAGCCTTGTCTTGAACTCCTGACTTCAAGAGATCTGCCTGCCTTGGCCTCCCAAATGCTGGGATTACAGGCATGAGCCACTGCACCCGGCCAGTCTGTATTTTCTAGTGAGATTTGAGGACTGGAATTTGTTTCATGCTTTATTAAGAAAAATCTCATAATCTCATTGAAAACTTAAATAAGATGATTATAATCTTGGGTAATGGCTGATAATATAGCCGTATAGGATCCAGATAAGGAAATACAGGGTGAAACAGTAATGAGGAAATAAGCCCATTGGTCTTGAATCATGGAACATATTGAGTAATTGTTTAAAAAGGAAACAGATTGGCTGGGCGCGGTGGCACACGCCTGTAATCCCAGCACTTTGAAAGACCTAGGCAGGTGGGATACCTGAGGCCAGGAGTTCGAGGCCAGGCTGGCCAACATGGTAAAATTCTGTCTCTACTAAAAATACAAAAATTAGCCAGGCATGGTGGCAAGTGCCTGTAATCCCAGCTACTTGGAAGGTTGAGCCAGGGAGGCAGAGGTTGTAGGGAGCCAAGATCTCTCCACTGCACTCCTGCCTTGGTGACAAGAGCAAAACTCAAAAAAAAAAAAAGAAGAAGAACCACATTGGATAGCCTAGGCTGGATTTACATAGTTTAACCAATATTTTCTCTCAGAGTTTTAAAGGTTTTTTTCAGGAGACCATGAGTTGCATAATTCAACAAAAATAATATATGTCTGCATGCCTGGTAATTTTCTGGGAAAAACAACTAGCATCAGGTATAAGGTTATTTTCAAATAATATATCAAAAAACAAGACATGCAAGCAAAGAATGAGTGAGTGCAATTCACATGTTAATGCTTACATGGAATTCTGTTTGTCTGGAACGTTGTTGCTGTGTGGCAGACTTACCTGCTTTTTTTTGCCTTATAAAATAATCCTCAATTACCTTTTTGATAAGATAAATACAATCAGAAACAAGACCCCAAAGGTTTTCTTTTTCTCTGGAGCTATATAGTCCTGCATTTGAAACCATTACTCTGGTCTTGTTACGTATATATATTTTTTTGCATAAAATACATTTCTAAAAACAGGATATGACCTCAGCAGAAAATTAAGCAAAAACATGCACTTGTCTTCATAAGCATAATGCTCTAGAAGTAAAAATATATGCAAATAAACCAGAAGGAGGCCTGAGAGCTACCTTCGCCCCCAGGTCTCCATTGCAGTCTCTTCCTACCTGTTCCGCTGTCCTGTCTCTGCTGTCTCCAGTTTAGCTTGCACATGGCCTCCCAGGTCATTTTAATAGGACAGACCTCTCTTGCACCAGCCCCTTCAGTGGCTCCCTTTTGTTCTCAATAAAGGCCAAACTCTTTAGCATGGCACGTGGGATCTCTGTAATCTGGCCTTTGAGGCTCATCTCCCCCCATTATCCAGCATACACATCCCGTATATTCTCATCACACTGCACCCTTCATGTGGCGTGCCATGTAAATATCTACGCTTTTGCATGGAATATACCTCTGTCTAGAAAGAAGTTCATATGTCACTTCTTCTGAGAAATCCTTTCTAATTCTTTCAGGAAAGGAATGAGGTCCCTCTCTGTGTGAGGGATCTCTATACTATCACTTGTCAAAACACTTTGTCAAAATGGAACCTTCTTTTTATGCCTCCGTTGCTACTAAGACCCCAACTTTTGAGACTGAAAATATAGGTTCCACGTACTACCATATTCCAACATGAAATGCTAGATCACAAGTGCTGGAATTCCAAAAAGTGCTCAAAGATCTGTTTTATGAGATCATTTTCTATTTCTGGGACATAA